CTAGGCTGACCAGAAGGTGGGGGGGGTTCTCAGACAGATCCTGGGGCCCTGCCGGGTCGGACTCCTCCATCGAAGTCCCCTCTCGCCGGTATGTGAGCGCTTGAGCAGGGAGCGGGTGTAACGAGCCGTCTCTCCCCAGGACCCGGGCAGTTCAGCTTCCCAGACAGGCAGGGCCATCCCCGCGGGCCCCTCACAGAAGGGGATGGCTACGGGGGCGGTCGTGGTCTCCCTCGGGGCCATTTGCAGGGGCGGCCCTGGAAGCAACGCCTGGCCCTGGCTTCGGTCCCACCTGCTGACAGGTGTCTCATGGCTATGTCTGTACTCCCCACGGACCGCCCGGCCCATGGCCACTCGTAGGATAAGTGGCCCGTAACGACCCCGTCTTTCTCTTCCGAGTGGCTGCAGATCTGCAGTCGGGGCCCTTCTGCTCTGCGTGGGACGGAAAGCACGCGTGTTCCAGTGTCGAGAACAGACACAGGTTGATCAGGTAAGGGTCCGGTAAAGGCTGGTCCTGGAGGCACCAGCTGGCCCCAGGCCCTGACCGTGGAGCCCATGCTCTGTCGCCCCTTAGAATCATCGCCAGGAAGGCCCAGGGGCATCTTCCCCAAGGAGCCCCGCCTTGTAATCACAGCAAGGCCGTGATTACAACTGGCCCTCCTCCCGGCACTACCCTCCGAGGTCAGGTGACTGCAGGCCCCTCACTGACCAGGAGCCTGAGTCCGCAGCAGTGAGGAGAGGCAGGTGAGCTGGACTCTTGGTGGACAAGAGTCATCCAAAGGCCCCGCAGGTCAGCCCCCTCCTGGCCTCAGGGGCCTCAGGAGGGTGAGTGTAGACACACTGCAGGGCCAGCTACTTCAGAAAGCACCGTCTAGGTGAGTCCACTCTTGTGCTCTGTCTGAGGTGAGGGAGCTCCAGGTCCCCGACAAGAGCTTAGGTGGACCCAGGAGCAGCCACACCTGTGCTGGGGGTGTCCTGGCCCTGCAGACTGGCCTGTCCTCCTCAGGTGCTGACAGCAGGCAGGTCCCCCTGGGCGAGGGTGGGCCTGAGTGTGGATGGCGTCTCCAGTGGGTGCTCTGCACCCTCAGACCCTCGTGGGTGTCCCCTCGGAGGAGACACGGGCTCTTCTTCCTCAGGTGGAGGAAAGGCCTAAGCGTCCTCTGTGGAGGCGTGGACGGCAGGGGGTGTCTCCGTGGTAAGTGCGATGCTCTGAGAGGTGGACCACATGACATGGTGGCAGTGCCATGTCCGGAGACCACCCACGTGTGGGGACCTATGTGCCTGTGATCTGGAGTTGGCTGAGGTTGGGGACGGTTCAAGGCTTCAAGATCCTGTTAGGAGTTCTCTCTGCCCCATCTCACTTGCTCATGGAAGAAATAAATAAATAACCTGAGTAAAAGTCCCCCAATTAGTCCCAGTCACGCTGTCCCACAGATGGCTGTCTCCTTACTGCCTGAGAGAGAAGGTTTAGGCTTTGTAGTCTTTCCTCGAGAGTCACTGTAGGGCCAGCGGGTGGCGTGGAGGCCAAGGCCCTGGATCCCACATGGCCAGGTCCGCGGTCGGAGTCTCAGACTCGAGGGCTTGGAAATCACATGTGTGCTCACGCCTAAAATCCCATCAGGAGGGTGAAGGAGGAGGGACTGTGGTGTGGCCGCCCCCGGGACAGGAGAGAACTGATGGGATGATGCCTCACTTTCCCTCTCTGTCTCTCTCCGGAGAGCGTACACACCTTATGGGGGGAAAAAAATCACCGAAAATGCATGTGTAGTACAAAAGATGAAGCCAAACGCGAGCAGACTGACTTACCCAGGCTGCCGGGAGGGAGAGCTGGTGGAGGGTCAGTGTCGCGGCAGGGCGGTCTGCCTTACACTTTCGGGACCGGTGGACCGGGTTCGGGTAGCGATTCAGAGTCCGGGCTGTTCACAGGTGGGACAGCCGCGTCCGCCTGCAGGGCAGAGGAGTCCTCCCCTGTGCCTGCTGGTGTCGAGGTCGGCAGTCAGGACATGGGGCCTGCAGGGTCTGGTCCCAGGTCACCAGGGCTCGTCAGCAGTCTGGCTGCAGCCGGGAGAGGTGTGGACCAGCGATGGTGCCCAGTTCACACATGCAGAGTCTTGTGCTGAGTCCTGTCCTGCAGCACAGACAGGAGGGTTGGGAATGCCGGCTCAGGGCTCTGTGACCGTGGCTGGTTGGTGGGAGCCCGGCTGAGGGTCGGCGTGGTCTGTGTGAGCAGCCCGGGAGCAGAAGGTCGAAGGCGGGGTGGCTGTGTTCTCTCACCCCCCCAGCAGCCGGTCAGCGGCCTGAGAACGGAAGGGGAGCTGTGTGCGGGGAGCCGGATGTGGGCAGGCCCAGGGGAGGACCGTCGCCGCCCGGGCACACCGCGGTCAAGCTGTCCTGAGTTCTGACAGAGGTGGGGCCGTCTGGGGCAGAGAGTCGCAAGAAGGGGGTACTCGCACGTCCGGCCTCGGCCAGGAGCTGTGCCGAGGAGCCATGCAGCGCCTACTGGCGTGTGCTGCCAGGGCACCTTGCTGTCTCTGGGCTGGCGTGGACGCTCGAGGGGGACGCAGGGGCTGAGTGTGACTCTTCTGACCCGCAGAGTCAGCTGAAGCACGCACGGAGTAACTCCTCAAGACACAGACATCCGAGTCCAGAGGCAGAGGGACAGGCCTGACAGCTGTGCGCCCGCAGAGCCGCTGGGAGGGTGGGGAGGAAGGAAAGTGAGTTTTTAGAGAAGGTTGTTACTTAGAGAATGAGAAAAATAAGAGGATTTCCAGAACAGGTTGGTTCGGTATGCATTTGGGGGAAAGACGAAATGACGCGGAAAGACCAAACGGACGGAACACATGGAGTCTGGAGAAGCACATTCATCAGGTCACGCGCCGTCTACCGGCCTCCTGCTGTCTGCAGGCAGGGAGGCCGTCCCTGAGCCCGCCTCGCTCCCACTCAGTCAAGCTCCACGGCGTTCAGACACGTGCGTTTCTGTTCCCTCCAACAGCGGAACACTCAGTCACAGCGGTGAATGCGTCTTTGGAAGCAGGGTGGGCTTGGGGGACGGAGCAGCGTCCATGAGGCACTCTGTCCGGGTGTGTCGCCAAAGGCAGTGTCCTCTGATGCGGCCCATTGCAGCGACAGGCTTTCCTGTGCTTGGGAGGGCAGGGCCCCGGGCAGGGCACGTTCCAAGTATGCTCCCGGTGGCACGTCCGGGCTCTTCCTGGCAGGGTGCCTCTCAGCCCTTTGTATTTTGGAAGAAATGGGCTCTTTTGTTATTATTATTATTTCGAAGAGGTTTTTTCTACAGGGCGTGTGTGCTTGCCAGGAGGACAGAGAGAGACAGAGAGACAGAAAGCGAGAAATCACCCCCCAAGGGGGATGGCCATGCCGCAATCCCTTCTCCTCCATTCTCCTCTTGGGATCTTTATAAAACATGCACACGTGCCCAATGTGAGTTTAAGCCACCGGGTCCGGGACACGAACCGCGGTCGACTATGTGGGAGTCCAGCGACATAGCCATTATACCAACTGCTGGTCCCTATTATGATTTTTTTACTTTAACAAAGTAGAAGTGAGGATGCCATAGGTGAAAGTGAGAGAGGGCAGGGTGGGCAGGTGGCATGATGGCGTAGAGCACACTTAGAAAGGCAAAGTGTGTGACAACCTGGCCCTGACACCTGCTCGCGCCCTCACTCCCTGCCTCGCTGCCCACACAGAGAGTGAGATGCGTGGACCCTGTCCATTAGCTTCCCCTGTGTCGGTAGGTTGGGGAGGCTAACGATTAGGGGGCAGGGACCCTGTCAAGGGAGGAACCAACTGCCCCATTGTTGAAGAGCGGGGCGTAGGAGGGACTCGCAGAGCACGGAGTTCGTGATGGCTTAGCAGGCTGAAATTGTAGTAATCCGACAACTTTTCAGGCACGAATGGCCTGTTCTGGGCACGAGGGCCTGTCACTAAATGATTCTGTGGAGTCAGTAGCTTGCAGTTACTGGTCCCTTCTGGGAGTGTTACCACTCGCAGAGCCAGGCTTCCTCTTGTTTGAGGGACCGTCCACTCCACTAGGCCAGCAAATGTATGCACAGAGCACAGATGGCCCTGGGCCACGGCTGGCCAGCAGGCAGCTCTGTATCTCGCCCTCCCGGCCTGGGGCAGTCCTGCAGAACACGGCTTAGATCTCTGCAACACCAGCCTGGAGCCAGGTTTCATGGGCATCCCGGGCACTGCAGACCCTCGCTGCACCCACTTCTGTTTAAGCTTTTTCTGTAGGTGTTTTCTCCCACACACCACAAGGATAAGGCCATGAGGCCCACAGGCCATCTAGCCAGTGAATAGACGTCATAGGTATTTGGTCATTCCCTCCGTAACTGGTGAGAAAAGGGTTGAGAGACACAACTCCGACAACGAAGAGACACCAGCATGAAGGCAGGGAGTCAGGTAGAAACTCTGAAACAGCAGGCCGGGTGGGCAGGGCGCAGAGGAGGCATGGCCAGGAGTGAGGGCGGACAGTTTCCTCTCCTCCCTAGGCCCTTGTTTTCACTATATCGGGTTGGCGGGAAAGTCATGATGAATTTTTGCACAGAAAAATAAAAATACATCGCGACTTTGCCGAGAGCCTAATACCTCCCCAAATGGCCATGCCATCCAGCCCAGTAGGTGGGGCTGCTTGGGGCCGTCGGGAATGCCCAGTTTGGTGCCGCATCGGTAACTGCATGTGTGGGGCCGGGAAGGCGTGGACGGTAGGGTTGCCTGGACACCGTGACTTCACTCACAGGCCCTGACACCTGCTCGGGGTCAGACCCACTGCCCAGGATTCGGAGCGCCAAGGAACGCAGCTGAGTGAATGTTACGGGGACCTGGCCCAGGGCTTTTGGGCGCTTTTATCTGGGAAGCCAGAGATAGGTGACAGCTGACGGATCCCAGACTCATGAAGGCAAACTGCCCCCATCTGTGTGAGCTCAGAACTCTAACTGCTTGTGAGTCACAATCCACCCAGTTCTCAAATGTCATCAGCTAGGCTTTCCCCGGCCAAGCCAGCAGGACCCTCTCATTCCACCCAGGTCGGCTTGGCCTTTGGCCCCCCAGGCTGACCTGCGGTGGAGGGAAAGGGGCTGAATGGGATGGACAGGCATGTGGTGACCGCCCCAAGGTAGAACTGGCAATCTGGGGTGGTCTTGCCCCCACCACCCAGAGCAGTTTCTGGGCCTCGGAATCAGGCCACAGGAGGGGCCTGACCCTCCACCATATCTCCCTGGTCCAGTGCGTGGGCCTGGGACGTACTCACGACCACACAAGCCCTTCTGCATAGCTGTCCGCCAAGGCTCCAGGGGTCCAAGCCGCACTGACAGCTTCTTTCCAGCTCATCACAAACAGGCGAGGCTGAAGGGGCTGCCCACACAGCGGGGGCGTGGGAGCTGCAGTGATAGCAGTGTGGCTGGTCCCAGGTGTGGCCTGAACCTGGCGGTGGGCACGGAGGGCAATGCAGCCCGAGCCCGG